ATGGGAATTCAGAAATCCTGTAGGATCCCATGGGGTTCGTATAGGAGTCCTGTAGGAACGTATGGGATTCGTATAGGAGTCCTATATGATCCGATGGGGTTCCTACAGGAGCCCCATAAGATCTTATTGGATTTGTGTCGGAGTCCTATAGGGTCCGATTGGGTTCGCATAGGAGTCCTATAGGATCCTAAGGGCTTCGTAGAGGCGCCCTGTAGGATCCTATGCGCTTCGTGTAGGAGTCCTATGGGATCCGATGGGAGTCGTACAGGCGTCCTACAGGATCCCATGGGATTTGTATAGGAGTCCTATATGATCCGATGGGAGTTAACGAATCCTATAGGAATCTTACAGGGCTTTAGCGAATCCCATAGGAATCTTTTAGGAATCCCATAGGGACCTTATAGGGCTTCAGCGAATCGCACAGGGATCCTGTAGGAATCCTAAAGAGCTTCAGCGCATTCTGTAGGAATCCGATTTGTGCCATTACTACTATTACTTCTACTGCTTACTGCTACTACTATTACTACTACTATCACTACTGCTACTACTGCTACTGCTACTGCTACTGCTACTACTACTACTTCTACTACTACTACTATTACTACTACTACTACTACTACTACTACTACTACTCCTACCCTTACGACTATCCTCACGGCTAGTAATAGTAGTAGCAGTAGTGCTGCTACTGCTACTACTACCACTACTACTACTATTACTTCTTCTTCCACTACTACTACTACTACTACTACTACTACTACTACTACTACTACTACTACTACTACTACTACTACTATTACTACTCTCGTATCATCCTGCTACTACTCCTACTACTTCTACCTCTACTCGTGCTACTCTGGTTGCTCCTACTCCTACCACTACTAGTACTACTCCGGCGATTACTACGATTACGACCCATGCTAGTTCTAGTGCTATTATTCTGGTTGTTATAATTAGGGCGACTACTTTTGAAATTACTAGTGCTAGTACTAGTCGTAGTAGTAGTACTGCTACTACTACTACTACTACTACTACTACTATTACTACTACTACTACCGACGCTATTTCTATTACTACTACTACGGCTACGACTAACACTAATTTTACGATTGCTACTACCACCACTACTATTACTACTACTACTACTACTACTACTACTACCACTACCACTACTACTACTACTACTACTACTACTACTACTACTACTACTACCCATACTACTACGACTACTACTACTACTACTACTACTACTACTACTACTACTAGTACTACTGTTGCTATTACGGTTTCTATTATTATGATGACTACTTCCACCCTGCTCCTACTACTCGTATTACTAGTTCGAATGCTCCTACCATTATTACTGCGACTACTACTCGTACCACTCCTACTACCTCCTGCTACCAGTAGTACTACATCGTCGACTCTTCACTACTCTTGATACTACTTCCAGTACTACGATTCACTCTCGTATTATTATTATTAGTACTACTACTACCACCACTTGTACGATTATTATTACTACTACTACCCATGCTACTGCTGTTGCTAATACTACTACTGCTACTACTACAGCTACTATTAGTATTCCGACTACTGCTACTACTACTATTACTATTACTACTACTACTACTACTACTACTACTATTACTACTACTACTACTACTACTACTACTGTTACCGACACTATCACTCCTACTACGTTCACGTCTACCACCACTATTACTATTACTACCACCACTACTACTACGACGACGACTACTACTAGTATTTTTGTTCTTAGTACTACGATTCTTATTCTCGCTACTACTACTACTACTACTACTACTACTACGACTACTACTACTACTACTACTACTACTACTACTACTACTACTGTCACGACTACAACTGCTATTGCTACTACTACTACTACTATTACGACTACTACGACTACTACTACGACTACTACGACGACGACGACTACTACTACTACTATTACGACGACTACTATTGCTACTTCTACTATTATTACGACTACTACTGCGACGACTACTACTTTCACGACGACTACTACTACCTTCTAGGATCCCCAAGGAATGCAATGGGATTGCGTCGGGATTCTTTAGAATTCCTGAGAGATTCCATAGGATACCGTAGGGATGCTGTAGCATCCCCTAGGGGTGCTGTAGCATCCCCTAAGAATTTTATGGGATCCCCCGAGGATTCTATAGGATCCCCGAAGGATTCTACAGGACCCCCGAGGGAATGTATAGCATCCCCTAAGGTTTCTATAGGACCCCGTGAGGATTCTATAGCATCCCCGAAGGATTCTACAGGGATCCCAAGGGAGTCGACAGGATTCCCTGTACGGTTCCGAAGCAGTCTGCAGGTCCGAGGTCGGTTCGGTGGAGCGCGTGTAGGTTGAGCTTGTCGGAATACGTGGGCTGCCTTAGGGATCCAAGAGATTTCCAACTGCTTCCTGTGGTTTCCTATGCTGGCCGTATGGCGCGTAGCGTAGCGTAGCGTTGCGTTGCGTTGCGTTGCGCGGGGGGGGGGGGGGGGGCGCAGGGTACACCAGCTGGTTGTTTCATTCCATGGAGCGAAACAACCAGCTGGTGTACCTGGTCCAGGTGCACCAGGTGGTTGTTTTGCCTTATTTTTGTTGTTGTTGTTCTTATTGTCATCATTTTTAGCAATGTCATTCCTTATTGTGTGTGTATATCTGCTTTCATTACATTTCATTTTTTTTTTTTTTTTTGAAAAATTTGCATTGCCATTCGTATTTCTATGTTTTACTCATTATTGTTTATTTATTGTCATCCTTAGTATCTTTTTGTTATAATATTATTCGGACTATCAGTCCTATTCTTAGTATTGTTAGTCTTATCATCCGTATTCTCATGAATGTTCTTATCATTGCCACTGCTATGTGGTTTATTACCATCATTCTTTTTATTATACATATGCTTACACTAACAAAAGTACGTAATGGTAACTCATTGGGCTGTAAGGTTGCGCCGCCCCAGGACAGATGCCACTGATGATATCTAGCTTGGTTTCACCAAGACGTGCCCCCTGGCGAGCAGAACCGAGGACCTTTGGCATAATTTTGAGCCCCCGCCTCCGAGCCCTAAACACGTTCAACCTTGAACGCCGAACCTTGAGCCCAACACAGCGAATCCCCGACGTGGACATGTACACCGGCACCAGGCCGTGCACCTCATGTAAAAGGCCCCTTTCAGGCTCGAAGGCATGCGAGCAGCGACCAGATGGGCCTGTGCGGTTTGGGGCCCTGCGCGCGTTTGGTTGGCCCTTATACCCAAAGTGCCTCCTGGAACTTTGCCCCTTCCATGGAGCGCGCGAGCACAGTGGTCCTTTGACCATTCTGCCGATTTGGGTGGCCTGGGTAGGGTCGGTCGGCTCACGCTTATGAGCGGGGCTCATCGGGAAGCTCGCGAAGTGGCGGCGCGGAAGCCCCGATTGTGCTGGTTGCAGTGGGCCGAGCCTGGCAGTCGAACTGCAAAGTGGCGACGGTCTGCGTTATCACTGGGAGAGTCCTGGTCGGGGGGCGCCGATGACGCTCACAGTGGACACGCCGCAGAGGAGGCTTGCCTACCACCCGGTACCCCACGAGCATTTCTTATTCGCCGATGTGCCCGCAAAGCGCTGGCGTACCTTACGATGCTCAAGTTCGACGACGGATGATGTCTTACGGCTTGTGCATACTGTATCTACCTGGACATCATATGGCCCAGGGGTAGCGCAGAGGGCTCAAGGCCAGCGAACGCATTGGGCACTCACGTAGTGGACTCGTTCTCTGTTCTCGCCGCCCCAGGAGACTTCCAGGATACATCAGTGGGCAGCCGCGAAAGGCCTGCAAGCGCCCCCTTAGCTTGAGTCGAAACGGACATGTACGAACATGTGAGCCATCTTTTGATTTTAAATTGGCCGATCTTCCCGTCTCGTCGTTTGGCTCTTCCCCGAAGGTGTGGAGCTCCTGGGCTCTCGTTCCTTCAGTCTGAATCACCGGATCGTGAGGCCCCAGGCCCCGAACGCCGTGCTGGAGCGTTTGGAAATTCCAACAGCCTGTCTCGCATACTGCCAGCGTGCGTTGTCGAAGCAGAGTGGGGAGCCTGGGTCTTAGTGCAGGGTGGGGCACTGATCGAAGCCGGGGGTGGGCCGGGTGGGTCATCGATCCACGGGGGGTCCTGCATTTTAGGAATGATCGTGGCCGTCGGCCAGTGGGAAGTGTCATGGCGCCAACATCGCAGAGTGGATGTCGTTCCGAAAACAATAGGATGGGCCTGGAGTGTCCTGGAGAACTTCGTTTCGAATTTCGATGTGAATTTCGTGCGGACTTCTTTTGGCCAGGAATGAAGACGAAACAACATCCACGCGAAATTCACTTCGTTTGTCACTCGCCGTTTCGGGATGTTGCGTTGACAGAAATCCACGCCCAAATCCGCTGCAGTACGTCCGCAAGGTCGGTGCAGTGAAAAGTGGGTCGGGGCCGGGATCTGAGGATCGGAGCGGATCTGGTATGTCGTCTGAAGTCAGCTATTTTCCCTTCGGTGGAGCGCTCTGCCGCTGGGTGCCCCCCCCCCCCTGCACTAGCGGGACGGCTGTGGCCTGGGTTTGGGTAGCTGGCCAGAGTGCCTTTGCGAGAGGGGGAGCTCGAAGTTCGTCCAGCCCCACTCTGCGCAAGGGGCCCTGGGCTTGCAGACAACCGTGATGCCTTTGATCCCGCACCTGTTCGATTTTTTTGGGGGGGGGCGGCAGAGCGTAGCCGTGTTCAGCCCAGCTGCAGCCTCTCGGGACCCCTGAGTGGGGCAGGACCAGCACGGCGCGAACAGTGAGGTAAGTTTTGTCGACGGCCTGCCCCCGTTCGTGCTCTGTCGTCGCATCATCAGGCCTGTGTGCCACGTGCCCGAGTCAGACCGATATCCAAGAAGAGCGGTCGCCACATCTTGCGTTGTGTGGCGGGGGGGACCAAGGGCAATCGCCGCCGCTCCTGGCAGGTTCTCATATTCGTCTGGGTGGCCGTGCGCGCGCTGGCCACCGACCCCGCAGAGATCCCGCTGGCCTTTGCCTGCGATGCGTACTGCCTCGCGTACAGCTGCGGCCTCGCGGTCAGGGCTGCGCTGGAGGCCACGTGTATACCGCAGTGCCCCCCGCGGCGCTCTTCGGGACCCCTCTGCACCATGTGTCAGGCAGACGCTTGCGGACGTTCGCACCGACCTGGGAAATTATGGAAGTAGTGCGTAGCGGTCGAGTCAGATACTCGTTAAACCACATACGCACTGAAGGGCGCGTTGATTGAGCCTCATAGATTGCACCCCACACGTTGTAATCCTCTGTGCCCGCTAGATTGCGGGTAGCCATTTTTTGGGTTCGACGTGCCGGAGCAACGTTTCTGCTATAGTCATCATTTTGTCTTGAGCAGTCGCTATCATTGTTCACGCTGCGTTGATCACCTTCGCTGGACATGCTTATCGTTTCGTTACCGTTGCCTGCATTGTTAGTCTTTGTGTGGTCATAAGGCAGCCACAGTTGCAGCGGCGGTTGGCTTCATTGCGCAGACAACATGCTTCATCGGGCGCGTGAGCTCAGGGAGATCTACGGTGACTTTTTCCTGATGGAGGGAAGTCTCTATGCCTGATATGGGCTTGCCAACGCCGGCTTCAACATTTTCTGTGCAAGCGGCTGGGCACATAGATTTCCATCAGTCCGGTTCGTGGCGGTAGCATGGGCTCCGAGGGGAATTTCCAATCGCGGGATTTGCAGTTTCAGCGTTCAAGTTCATTCGCATCCCCGTGCCACTTCGAATCGATCCTCCTTATAGTACTAGGAGATGCGCGACTGCTGCCCCATCGAAGCATTTGAGGAATGGGAGCAGGTAGCCCACTTGCAAAAGAAATGACATACCGCGTTCGGCGGCGATGCGGTAGTGACGACACCACGTCGTGTCTATTCAGGCGCCCCCAATGGGCTATGCCCGAGGGTCACGCTGGCACGATCCTGGCACTCAGAGTCCTTCACTGGAGACAAGCACATATACATTACCAGTTGCGGGCTGTTCAATCCCAGGACTTTTTGAGGGTCGGGGGCGACGTCGGGGTGGTATGGTGTATACATCTTTTTCCGTTTCCTGGGGAAATACTGAAAAATATATACACCAGGATCCCGTATACACCAGGATCCGCTTTCCGGTGCAAATTTCAGTGCAGGGCCGGAAAAAGCGCCGCTGTATAGAGTTCGTTTCCCTACTTCGGCGGACCCAGCAGGCGTCGCAATGTCCATACATCCCGAGTGCTCTTGCTCTTGCTCTGGGCCCCATGACACTGGGTCCTCAGGGCAGGTTCCTGTGTTCCCCAGCGCCCTGCGGATTGCCCATCGCTCGCCTCCAGCTTGAATTTCGTTTGGTGGTGATGATTGATGATGTTGATATTAATGTTGACGATGATGGTGATGATGATGGTGATGATGATGAAGATGATGACGACGACGACGGCCACGACAATGGTGATGATCATGATGACGATAATGCAGATGACGAAGATGATGCAGACGACGATGATTATGATGTTGGTGATTATGATGATGTCGATGATGATGCTGATCCTGTTGGCAACGCTGATATTGTTGATGATGATGACGACGAGGATGCTGCCGTTGATGATAATGCTGCTGTCGACGACGACGATGATGATATAGTTGATGCTGATGTTGATGATGTTATTGGTTTTCATGATGATGCTCTGATGCTGATGATTATGATAATGATGACGCTGGAGATGACGACGACGATGTTGCTGATGATGATGAGGAGGATTACGATGATGATTCAGGTGATGATGCTGATGATGATGGTGTTGATGATTATGATTACGTCGACGACGATGATGGCGACGACCATGATGATGATCTCGATTCTGATGATGACGATGATCGTGTTGGTGATGACGATGGCCACGCTGATGATGATGACGATGATGATGATAACGATGCTGCTTCTGATGATGATGATGTCTTTTGTTGTCGACGACGACGGCGGCAACGATGGTGAGGATGCTGATGTTGACGATGTTGACGACGGTGATGGTGATGTTGTTGATGATAAGGATGTTGATGTTGATGTCGATGATCATGATGATGATCATGCTGTTCATGTTGATCATGCTGATGGTCATGATGATGTTGTTGATGATGATTGTGACGGTGTTGTTTATGATGATGATGATGATGATGATGATGATGATGATGATGATGATGATGATGTCGACGACGATGATGAAGATGATGATGATTATGATGATGATGCTGTTGGTGATGATGATGACGGTCATGGTACTGTTGATGTTGTTGTTGATGATGATGAGGTTGTTGTTCATGATGATAATGATGATGCTGATGATGATGATGCGGACGATAATTATGATGATGCTGGTGATGATGATTCTTACGATGCTGATCCTGATGATGATGGTGATGATGATTATGATGCTGCTGCTGATGATTATTTTGGAAACTGTTTTGTATAGTTTGATGTCGGTGTTGATGTTGATGCTGATGCTGATGCTGAGGTCGATGTTGGTGATGCTGATGATTTCGCTGTTGATGATCCGATGATGATGACGACGACGATGATGATGTTGATGCTGCTGATGATGATGATGCTGCTGATGATGTTGAATATTATGATGCTGATGATGACCATGATGCTGATGATGATGATACAGATTTTTATGATGATGAGTTTCATGATGATGATTGTGATGATGTTAATGATAACGATGCTGATGATGACGATGATGATGATGGTGATGATGATGATGACGATGATGATGCTGCTGCTGATAATGATGACGATGATTACGATGATGGTGATGACGATGATGATGCTGATGATGATGATGATGATGATGATGATGATGATGATGATGAGCATGACGTTGTTGTTGTTGTTGGTGATGATGATTATGGTGGTGGTGGTGATGATGATGATAATGATGATGATGATGACGACGACGACGCTGACGACGACGACGATTCTGGGAGCCAGTTCATTTCTCTCCCTCACCAGACGCCCTCCCTGCGAGGCGCGGGTCAAGAGCAGCTTCGTAGTGCAGCTCGCCTCGGCTGCGCGCGCATGTGCGCTGGGCGGGGACCTGCTGCTGCTGCTGGGGCTGGTGCTCAGGCCCTGCTGCCCTCCTCCGCCTCCTCGTCGCCCTCCCCGTGCTTATCATCGTGGGCGAAAAACGCATCCGTATCTGCGGCCTCGCGGGCTGGGCTTCTGGGCCGCGACCCCGCGGATACAGGGTGTTCTTTCGCGGATGCCTCGCGCGGAACGTATCCGTGCGACCGCGTATCCGCGGGATCGCGCCCATGCAGACCGCGCGAGGGCGCTGATACGGATATGTTCGTCGCTTGTGATACTATTTCGCAGCTCACCAATGAATGCGAAGCTCTGCTTCTCTCGGCGAGACAGTCCCCTTGTGGTCCGAAATAGCGCTGACAAAGCTCTTAGGCTTCGGGGAGTCCGGGCCATCGTTGGCCTTGGAGCCTGGAGGCAACGACTCGCTCCTCGGGAACGGGCCCTCGGTCTGCCGTCCGACGCCCTTTCCCGACCTTCCGACCTCCGGCCTCCAACCCCCAGGCTGGCTCTTGAGGGCTCAGGCCCTCTCGGGGCCGTCCCATTCGGACCTACGGTAGGTTCGCGTCGTGACGACCAGCGGCGACCCCGCCGCGGGCGTTCAACGAGGAACGCTGCCAGCGACCCAGAGTCGGTCGATGGTGAACGATCTGACGCTTCGGAAACGGCCGATCGTTCAAGGTTGAACGCCGGGGTCGACACGCCACGAACCCGCGGTCAGAGTGTGTGCGAGGGGGACTGCGGCCAGGGCCAGGAGCAGAGTTTGCATGACGTTCGAAAAAGCGGCTCACGATCGTCTGCCACGACGCACTTCGGATTCATGGCGCAGGATTTACACTGCGCCATGGTGTGCCATGCTATGCCATGATTTGGGATGGCCGATCGCCCAAGCTTGAACGATCCCCGCGGTGTCGTGTCAGGCACCGACGCCAGGGTCGACACGACACGAACCCGCGGTCAGAGTGTTTCGGATGGAACTCCTGGGAGGTTAAATTCTGACTTTGCCCTTGTCCGAAATCCGGCTTAAGCTGGCTTAATCCGGCTTAATCCCATTCAATCTGGCTGAATCCCGCTTAATCCCGCTTAATCCGGCTTAATCCTGCTTAGTCCGAGTTCCGGCGTAACAGCTCCCAAATGGGGCTTAATACTTTCTCATTTTTCCGACGAGAGCCTCTCAGTAGTTGCCTCGTAAGAGTGTGTGCGAGGGGGACGCACTGCGCTATGGCGTGCCGTGATGCGCCATGATTTGGAACGGGGTATCACCCAGGCCCACGGGGCGGCACCTCGCTCGCTGGCCCACTCGCTCCGCCCCCCACCCCACCCCACTCCTCTCCCTCCTCCTCCTCCTCCTCCTCCTCCTCCTCCTCCTGCCCTCCTCCTCCTCCCCCCTCCTCCTCCCCCTCCTCCTCTTCCTCCTCCTCCTTCCTCCTCCTCCTCCTCCTCCTCCTCCTCCTCCTCCCTCCTCCCCTCCTCCCCTCCTCCTCCTCCTCCTCCTCCTCCTCCTCCTCCTCCTCCTCCTGCTCCTTCTCCTCCTCCTCCTCCTCCTCCTCCTTCCTCCTCCTCCTCCTCCCCTCCTCCTCCTCCTCCTCCTCCTCCCCCTCCTCCTCCTCCTCTCCTCCTCCTCCTCCTCCTCCTCCTCCTCCTCCTCCTCCTACTCCCCCCCTCCTCCTCCTCCTCCTCCTCCTCCTCCTCCTCCTCCTGCTTCTCCTCCTACTCCTTGTCCTCCTCCTCCTCCTCCTCCTCCTCCTCCTCCTCCTCCTCCCAGGGCGCTGCGGCCATCCTCGGCGCCCGCCCGGCCGCAGAAGTGGCCCTCCTCGCGGCGGTCGCCCCCGCGCGCGCCGCCGGCGCCGCTGCCGCAGATCCCAGAGGACTCGGGAGGAGAGAGCGGCCGGGGGCCCCCAGACGGTGCGGCGACCACACCGTGTGGTGAGTTAGTCTCAGACCGCCTCGAGTCATGGCACAATCGCGACGGGGAGTTTTCCGACATTTTCGGCCTCTGGGGGCCCTTACTGGGCCTCGGGGACGTCAAAAACACGGCGCAGGATGAATGACTAGCCCCAGGGGGTGGGCCGAGACCTCTGGGGGTCGACGCTGAGAAGAAATCATGACGCCCAAAATCTGGGTGTGGTGAGTCAGCGCGGATTCGGGGTGGCCGCACGGTCGTTCTCCGAGGATGTCTCGGGCGCCTGGGGCCTCTGGGGTCCCCACACCGTGCGGTGACGGCAAGTGCGGTGAGGTCTGTGGGGATGTCGAGGTCGCCGCACGGTCTGTCACCGCACCGCTCTGGGACCCGCAGCCTCTGCCCGTCCCTGGCGCCCTGGCCGGCGTGTGCAGGTGCGGTGCTCGCCTCGTCTCCCGCCCAACAGGGCAGGGCCCATGTCGAGCCGATCCGATCTGATCCGGCATCGGCTTGGGCCCGCCCGATCAGGACAGATCCCAGCGTTCCGACGATCGGGTGCGGCCCCGTATCTGCACGGCGCTGCTTTGCATTCTGGCGCGGCTGATCCGATTCGATTCCGACTCCGTGCTGGGGCTTCCCTATCCGACACATTCCGATTCGATCCGATTTTCCGATCCGATTCGATGCTGATTGATCTGACCCAATCGTCTCGTATCCGCCGTGTTATTCCCGTGGCATGCCTGTGCGAGTGGTTTGCGATCACTGGTCACGGCGAGTCAGTCCACATGTTTGCTTACCTGCTGGCACATTCACCCATCCACCCGCCCCCCGATCCCTGGGGAGACTACATCCTTTTTTATCCTCCTGTGCCCGTGCTCTCGCTATCGGTCTTGCTCGTCGCTCTCACCTCGCCGTTGCCCTCCTCATCTATCCGCTTGCTCATCATCTGCCTTCGCGTGGACTCAGAATGTCTCACCCCTCTATTACATCACTCCGCTCGCAGGGAATCAGTGGAGGTCTGAGTGGGCCGCGTTCGCATGTTGCGTGCCAGCCGGGAAAGGTCCCCCTCGCAACTATCCCTCCTTGCAGGGAGCCCCCCTGGAGACCTCCAGCTAAGGCCCCAGTTGGGCGCGTCATTTGGCGGTTTGGCATTTCGTCGCTCTCCGCACAAGAGCTGTGGTTCAGGTCCACCTGGGCGCCCTCCCCCCCCTGCATATCGCTCGCCCCAGGGGGCCCAACCAAGATCCAAGTAGGGGGCGTGCGTGCGAACCTAGAAGTGCCCACCCCCTCTTACGTCTCACCCTTCCTCAAAGGGAGCCCCAACTGAGGTCTCACTGCGTGTAGAGTCAGGCGTGCCCTTACTTCGCGCATTTCCTTTCTCCTTCTTGGGGAGCCCCAACGACTGTCTCATGTGGGGAGGGCGTCCGCATTTCGCACGTGGGCCCGTCTCTTCGTAGATGCGGTCCCAGCTGGGGTCGCGGTTGTGGGGCGTCCGCGTTTTGTGTGAGGAGCTGCTCAGGCCCACCCCTCGACTATTGTACTTCGTTTGCTCCTGCGGAGCGCAAGCTACGGTCCCAGTTGCAGGCTCTGGCGCACTGGCGTGCGCCCATACTGGTCCGCCCCTTGTGCATTCCGCCCTTCCCCACGGCCGAGGTCCCGCTTCGGTGCGTTCGCACGCTGGCATGTAGCAATCGGGACTCTCCCCTCCAGTATTCCGCCCCCCCATGCAGGGACCCCACCCGTCATGCTGAGGATAATGAGGAGCGGCAGCGAAGAGGAGCTTGAGGAGGCAGAGGAGGAGGAGGAGAAGGAGGAGAAGGAGGAGGTCGGTCGGTCGGATCTGCAGAATGACCAAGTCGAAATTCAAGTCGATTTCGGGCTGATCGCAGTGCGCATGAGGCTTCAATAGCCTCTCGTCGGAAAAAAGGTATCCACCCTCGGGGTGGGTTAAAGTTGGGGACACCCTTTACCCCATCTCGGGTCGAAATCCCGAGCGAAACAATATGGAAGCTCTACAACTTACCAGCAACTCCCAGGGGGGGGCCGTGGAGGCGCCCAATAGGGCCGACACAAGACCACAAGCCGACAAGGTACCCGAGCCGGGCTCGAAGGGTAAAAACAAGTTGTTGCCATCTCAAGCCCGGCTCAGGCCCAGGCCCCGTCAAGCGTCTCCGCGGGAGTGGGGGGAGGGTGCGAGCACCGTCGCAGAGAGAGAAAGAGAGAGAGAGAGGGGGAGCAGGGGAGGAGGAGGAGGATCAATCAATCAACCATTGCGAGCCTCTGTCACCCAGCAGTCCTGGTGGCATCTGCAGGCTCTTGGATGCGAACTATCGCCTACCAGCGGCCGACGCTGGAAGGATGGCCCTCTCAGGCCGAAGCGGGACCGCTGTAAGGGGAACGCCCAGCGGCCCGCACGCGGCACCATCCTTCGTGAAAAGGAACAAGCTCGGGCGTACAGAGCGGGAGAAGGAGGGAGGACGAGTGAGCAAGGTCGCAACGCTTGTCACTGCTTTCTTGCAGACTGCCTGGGACAGCAGAGTACCGAGGATGTCCTCGGCTGGAGACACAGAGCAACGGGAATCAAAATCTGGCGGGGCATTCCTCTACCAGTCCGCAGAGGACCCAGAGCTCTGGAACAACCTGCGCCGGCTATTCGCCTGCGCGGCAGTGCGGGCCAGAGCATCGGCCAGAGGAGTCACTCCGCTGGCGGCATGGGATTAGGGTGGAGGTATCTACTAGCAACACGGTTGCTCTGATTCGGCACTGTCTCAACATTGACTTCTATTCTGCGGACCTGCTCACTACGCTGCTGAAACTCTTCAAATGACATGATGGCGGGAGGGTCTGCACTTCCAACCTGATGCAACAAGACACTGCGGCTGCCGTTAAAATACCTGAGGATGGGGTGGTGAACGCGGGCCTGCAGGGCCTGTAATTGTATGCCCGTGAGGCGGCCTTCCCTATACATCTCTGCCATACGCTCAGATCCGTTCACTGCTTCAAGACGCAACGGCCTCAGAACCCCTCCCCGTCCTGGTCGCTGTCTACCTCGATGGGCTGCCTGTCGTTCTCGATCCCCATGCGCTTGAGCAACTTCTCCGCCTCTCTCTCCAGCGCCCCCTTGGGGGGTCCGCCCGCCTTGTACTCCCCGCCCTGCTTGAGAATCGCCATGCAGAAGGCCTGGTGGAGCGGGATCGTGTTGGTCTGATCTGAGGTGTTCCTCACTCCGTTGACCTGGGAGTTGGGGCTCATCATGAACTGGAGCTTGAACCTGGTCGGCTTGTCGTCCTTCTTGCGGTCGTACCAGCAGCCCTTGATGCGCAGGAACCTGATCTGCTCCTGCAACTGGATGAGGCCCTCCTGCTTGCTGAGGCTCGTGATCACCCCCCAGTAGGTCTTGAACGCCTTGATCGTCGGCTCGTCCAGGTCCACCATCTGGCAGAAGTGCTTCAGGAGAGCCAGGAATACGTGCGGCCACGGGGGGCCGTTGCCGTGCTGCTTGCCCTTCTTCTTGCAGTCCTGGGCGTAGGCCTTGCCCGCCTGCTGCATGATGTCGATCAGCGGGGCGCCCGCGGGGAGCAGAAAGCACGTGAAGCAGGCGCCTGTGAGGTCGGCGAGCTCCCTGGAGTTCGTGATGCTGAGCTTCGTGAGGATGGCGAGCAGCGCCTTGAAGTTGCCCATCTTGAGCCCGTCGCGCTTGACCTGCTCGGCCAGCCGCCCCTTCTTGTTCTCCTGGGCGTCCGAGGTGTCGCCCATCTCCTTGCGCTTGTTGGCCGTGCCGATGATCATCCAGTCTGGCGCTGACGCCATCTCCGAGCCTCCTGCTGCCTCTCGCTCGTTGGGCCTCGCCGCTGCTGCCGCGCCCTCTCCTGGCATCGTCGAGTGCAGGGAGGTGGAGAAAATGCGTACGGATGTGGGCTCGCAGCGGAGCCCCAGCAAGAATTTGAGCCTTACACAATGGGCACTCATCTGTGTTGTCCTGGCCTGGATGTTTGAAGGTCGTGCTTCTGTGTGTGACGCATATACCCGTTTCGTAGGAGTCGATGAGGTGCTTATAGACCGAGTTACGGCTCTCGAAAACGCTCTCGCAGACAAAACATACATTAGAAGTAACTGCCAGCCCAAGGATAGATCTGAACTCATGCCCCCTGCTGAGATGAACCAATAGCTGCCTGGAGGTATGGAAAGAACGAGTACAGCCTGGTACTGGACATGGTAACATATCTCCTGCTGCTTGTGGCGGGTCGGGTCGTGATTCCTGAGGATGAGGATGAGTATGTCCAGGAGGGGGGATAGCTACACTTAACCACTTAGCTCGCAACTTCTTTGGGTCAAACTGGGTAAACCATTCGACTAAACTCTCCTCCTGGAATATTCTCAATGGACTGCTATCAAATTCTTGTACGTGTTCATATTCGTCATTTCCTAAGTCAGCCAGGGAGTTAATATCTGATATTACTCTACGAGCCCAGGGGCAAGCATCTTCTGTAAGACGCTCGTCCTGTCCAACGATCTGCAATCCTCTCTGCGACTCGATTTGCATGGTGCCAAACAAAGCTGCCCATTCTGCCAGGTGACGATCAGGTTGTTGGACCCAGCGCTGATACCACTTGATGCGCCGTGCGCGCAGTTCGATCTCAAGTGGTGCCATCTTCCAGTACCTACAAACCTCTTCGTTACTGATCGAAACCTTATGCCCATTCTGCTCCTTAGTGGCCAGCCCTCGCATAGCACGTCTAGCATACATATTTACTCTGCTCTGCAATCGCTGTAGCTGAGCAGGCGTTGGGAGGAAAGCCTCGACGCCTGATAACGCAGACCCTAGGACACGACATAGAAGGACAGCACGTCGTTCAACATAAGGGACTCGTGCCTGGTACCAGAATCTCCCCATACTGTGATAACCAACATCAATGGCCCTAAGCCTATTTTCCAGTTCAGAAGAGAAAGCTCCATCACTTCTAACGATACTACCCAGATACTTTGCAGAATCTTTGGGTTGTCCAGCTAACCTAATATTGCCAGTCCGTATTTGTTTTCTGCAGTTCTGAGCTTGGTCCCCAAAAAGTGCAAGCACTGTTTCATTTTTTGTTGGGTTAAGTTGATAGTTATGTTCAGTCAGTCGTCGCGATAACAAGTCATCGTAGTGCAAGGACTGCCTGCTAACCTCCTGCGCCAAGTCTGTCGTCTGGTCCGCAATAAGTAACTTCTTAGCGGCATCATCTACATATGAATGACATGATAGATCCATAACCATCTCCTGATCATCATCTGCTGGGAGCCTGACCGTGCACCACGTAGCTGTTTCGTCCTGGGAGTTATGATGATCCTGCTGTGCTCGCGCGAAAACCCCTCCTATGTCTCGTGTGAATACCTTAACTACCCAGGGATCTCCTTGTAGCGCTCCAACCGTAGGCTTGGCGAAAAAAAACCCATCCAGCCCCGAGAAACACACCGTAGATAACTGCAGCCTCTGGACCCCAAACCTAGCCTCCCCCTCCTTCATGATGCTCTGGTTAGCCTCCAGGATAGCCTCACGAGAACTGCTACCGAACGCGTTCGTGATGTCCTTATGCTCCGTGACATGCCGTATCCCTAGCCTCCGAAGCCTCCATCCGACTGACTGCTGGATCATGATGGCCGTCTCGCGGCGCCTCCTGGGAACACAACCGTGGGCGAACTCGGGTTCCTGGGTGAACTGCACTGGGTCCAGGCTGGTGGCGATGAAGGCTTTGCCAAAGGGGCACAAAACGTGTATGACCCTCTTCCAATTGGTGGCCACACCCATCGACAAGCTCCAGACTGCTGGTGGCTGGCTACTTCGATATATCTTATGTACGAATATCACCAGGAATCGCCTTAGGGCACGCAGATCAAGGTCTGGAGCCTGATAACCTACACCTCGGAACCTCCTCGACGTACGCCGGTACGGGTGGAACAGCATCCAGAATACTTCGATAGGAAGGGACCAGGGTGGCGACGTTCTTCGTTTGGCAGCCCTGCGCAGGTATTGTCCTATCAGCTTCAATTTTTGTCGAGCCCATTCCAGGCCCTCCTGGGTCCAGGGGGAGGTAAACTGCTGAGCCTCCAAACCGTGATCAGGGTGATAAACGTAGTCATCGATCATCTGGGGCCAGTCGACTATCTCTGCCTGCATCCCTCCCTCCCCTGAAGACAGCTGGAAGCGAGCGTAGAGGTCCGCCGCCGTCGGCATCAGCTCGGTGGCCCGACGGTAGTTCCTCTTCCGAGGTCCCGTTCCTCGTCCCGATAGCAGCCGACACAACCTCGCGACCTCTCCCTGCCGATTCTGAGACCGTGCTGCAAGCAAGTCCGAGGTGAGATCCCGACGCCAGAGGACAACGTAACGTCTGCGTAGCCTCCTCAGCTCCCTGCTCCTCCTCCTGAGCTCCTCCTTGATGTTCTGCTGCTGCTCCTCGTCCTGCTGCTGCCCCAACTGCTCCCTCATGTCCCTTCTCTGCTGCAGCAATTGTTTGACCTCCTGGGAACGTTCACGATAACCTGGAGAATATTCTGGAGTAGCAGTAAAAAAACCTGGATGCTTCCTGGTTAAGGATGTTGACAAAGTAACCCCATTCTGCATTCGTAGTCTGTTCGTCGCTCTGGAGAGTCTCGATGTCTTGTTCAGCAGCAAGGAGCCGTGATTCAACTGCCTGTAAAAATTCCGCTCGCTGGGCCCCAGTCCGAAGTGCATCCCCTAACGCTTCCTTGTTCCACTTGTGCGTGGTGGGGACAAGGCCGAGCCTCTGGTGAGTGGGGATCTGGTTCGGGAGGCAGAGAACGTCAGCTAACGAGTACGATATTCTGACATGTACTGGGATATGATCTCGTGGGTCGACAGTGTGGGCTAGTTGTAACCTTCGTGCCATTCTTCGTAGTGGGCCAGCGGCCGTAACATTAGGTAAACAACATTGCGGTAAGAACACAAAGTCGAGTTGTGAACTGTTGCGTGCGTTCCCATAAAAGGTTGGTCCAGCTCCTTTGTGGGTGTTGACTGCAACTAGATCAAAGTCCTGTAACATAGCCAGCACGACGTCAGCTGAGTACTTTTGTTTAACAGGCGTGACTGCCGTCCCGATGGCGGGGTGACGTACTGGGAGCCATTCATCACTGCCTGACCGACGTTGTAGTCCGAAGCCTGAGTTAACATCCGCACATAGTACTGGGACACATCTGTGGGTGCCCCATATTGGTAACTGCCTGGCCCACTGGATTAACAAATCACATGTCTTGTAGTAGGCTGTGATCTGCTTGGAGTAATTGGGGACGGGCGGAAAGTATAAGCAGACGACCGCAACGTCATAGCTTCGCGCTCTTGCGCGCAATGCCACTCCACGCCCAGCTAACGAGGGAGGAGCACACCAGGTATGAGTTACTGACCTGCGGGAAATCCTGGGACCTAACAGGATGCCACAACCTGCAGACTTATTTGTTAGTGGTCCCCTCTGCCATCCTGCCTCCAGCATCCATCTATCTCCCGCTCTCCTCCAACCCACCGCCTCCCCATGCCTCTTGCTGCCCGTGCCAGTCAACCCGATGAAATCCATGTTGGGGGCCTGGGCGGCGATATCGGTGAGCCGATCGGAGGTGGAAGCCGACTGGGGGTTATACTGCAAGAAAGAGAGGCTGTTCATATCGTTGATGGCCGTCCAGCCGCTGAGGAACAGTGGGAAGCGGGAGGCCCTCAGAAAAGAACCAAGATG